AGTCAAAGCTTAGAAGAAGAAACTAGGTGACAAAATAGAGAAATCACTCTAAATCCAAGTCAAAGAACAGAGAATTCTCTTCCTTAAGAGAACTACCTTTAAGGCAAATGATTCTTCTATTCTATGGTTTCTTTGATGTGGAAAAGAAGTACCTACCCTTTGGTTCAGAACACCATCTTCTAGTAAATCACCAAAATGACAAACACAAGAGAAGAGGTACCTGTTATAAGTTTTCTAGTTCTTTTCAGTCACATGAACTATTAGTGCCCAGGTAGTGGTTGTGGTATGCTAACATATACCTGAAAGATGTGGGACTTTAAATCATATACAGTGTTGTAAACCAATGTTACCTGAAACAATGCTTTGATTAATTAACAAGAAAAATTACAGCTAAAAATAATTTTATACATATGTTCACCATAAGACATATTGTAATGCGCACAGTGGTATTCTTGTAATAGCCAAACACTAGAAACCCAAATATCCACCAATTGGTGAATGAATAAACAAATTGTACTTCTGTACAATAAAAAAGAATGGAAATCTGAAAAAAGTTACAAAAAGAAACATGAAGTTATTCCTTTGACCACATATATGTGAATCTATAAAAGCGATTTTGTAGACATAGAGAATGGGCACTGTTCAAACAGGAATGTTCCATAAATGTTATCATAGCAAAACTGGAAGAATCTATAATGTTACCCAGCATATAGTTGGCATTGTTGTAGAGACAAGTAAAGGGAAAGAATCTTGCCAAGAGAATTAGTGTTCATATTCAGCATATTAAGCAGTGTATCTTCATTAAACTAATGACCAAAAATGACCAGAAAAAAAGGAAACCAAAGAAAAAAGTACTTGGGTTCAACTGAAGGTCAGTCTGTTCCATTCCAAGAACACATTTTGTGGGAACCAGTGGAAAGGAGTTGCTGGAGCCCATTTCCTGTGAATTTATGGCATGATAGGTGTGTGTGTGTATGTACGCGCATGGGAGGGGCGTGAAGGTAGATCTCTGGACTTAAAAAGAAAAAACTAAAAGAAAAGTACCCAGACCACACGAAAAAGACAATAAGCCATGATTATATAATGATCGGCTTTGTAGAAAGATAGTCTACTTCTAGAACTTGAGGTTTCTTATCCTAAAATTAAACTTGAGGATTTTAGGAAGGCAATAATAAACATTTTATAAGATTGCTTCTACTACTATTTTTCTCACAAACAGAAGGTGGAGTTTTTCTGTCCTTATATAGCAGACAAACCCTTGGCTGCTTTCAAAGTAAGCCAAAAATGACATATGGAAGCTTTTGAATATGCAATTCCTGAGTGAAATGTAGCACCTTTTT